TCTCTCTCTCTCTCTCTCTCTCTCTCTCTCTCTCTCTCTCTCTCTCTCTCTCTCTCTCTCTTTCTCTCTCTCTCTCTCTCTCTCTCTCCACCCGAATGACGCCGCTGGATCTGTCGGTTTGTCTATGGCCGACCGCTCACCCCCAAACACCCAACTCCAGTGAATACCAACGAATGACAGTAGACAGACAACACATCGGCATGCATTCCGCACTGACGAATCTGCATGCCAGCGTGTGGGAACCCCTATTTTATACTGGATTAGGCGGTGCGCTGTCGGGGTATTCCATGGACCCCTCCTCCCTTCGAGCGTGTGCCCTTGGACGAGAACCGGATGACTGTGCCCATGTTCCCGTCGCCGGAAAACGAACGTCAGGAGGGCCATGCGAATATACATGGCCCTCCTGACGGTTGTTCTCTGACGACGGGGACATGTGCACGGCTTCCCACGGCCGTTCGGTTCTCGCTCAAGGACAACCATTTGGGGGACGTCGTCCCCCGAATGGTTGTCCTTGAGCGAGAACCGAACGGCCGTGGGAAGCCGTGCACATGTCCCCGTCATCAGAGAACAACCGTCAGGAGGGCCATGCGAATAAATATATATATATATATATATATATATATACATCTATATATATATACATCACGGCGATGATGGGTCCGTTTCCCGCCCACCTTCGCCACCAGGACCTCCATTCGCCCCCCTGCGGGCGAGAACCGCCCCCAGCAATTCCAGGACGGTCTTGCCACCCCGCATTGCTTCAGCCACGTCTCTTATCCGAACAACGATTGCAGTGCCAGCGTCTGCGGTGGCTTTGGCTAGAGTGCTGGCCGCTTTGTCCAGGCCATCACAGTAAGAGCGAGTCGAATCTTCCATGACCCTCCCCAACGGGCTGACACTGCTACTCGCCTCTTCCTTCCGCGCCTTCCCGTTGGCCGTTTGCCTCTTCTTCACAGCACTGTCCGAGTCCTCGGCACATATCTCCTCCGATACTCCACTCGTCGATGCATCTACACTCCCCGCCATCAGGTTCTCTGAAGCCATTGTATTGTCACACTTCATCGACGACCGATTGAGCTGCCACTGCATAGCGTCCCACAACGCCTTCTCAAACGAAAGTGGGAGATTCTTCTCCTTTCGCTCCTCCACAGACAGATCCCAATACGACGACTGACCAGATGCTTGAAGTTCACACTTTCCGACGATGAGCTTCGCCGTCCGCAGCGTGTTCGACCACTTCTTGCGGCAGTCTTCAGCGCTCCTGTGTTTGAAGCTGGCGTCCTTCATCCTGTCCTTCACCCATTCATACCGCTCCTTCCTCTGCTTGAAACGGTGTTGGCCATGAGCATCCGCCATAAGGGCATCATCCTCACCCATCAAAAGAGCGAGCTTTATCCGCTCATCCAACTTCCACGGCACGTTTTGTTTCTTTTGACACAGCGGGCGACCATTCGCAGGCCGCCCGGTGACCGTCTCAGCTGCTCCACCCCGGCTGTGCACATCGCCATGCTCGCCCATCGATTGTGCCGTCATGGGAACGCCACTTCCCTGCTCCGCCTGGCCGTCATCGTCACCTGCTTCCGAACTGCCGGTGCCGTCATCGTAAGGTGGGTCCATGCGCATGTCGGGGGACATCGGCCTTGTGGTGGCCCGAGTCCACACAGCGTCCGTCTCATCACCTACCGATGGAAACGGGGAAGTCCGTGTCCCGAACAATTGCCTCGTGCTCTGTCCGCATTGGGGGACCACGGCCTGCCACCCATGCCCATGGTCTGTGTGGATGGTGACGCCATGCCGTAACCTGCGGCCATGGTCGCACCTTCTGCGCACGCCCTCGCACCGTACATGTTTCACGGCTGGTGGCCCGGGATAAGATGATCACCGACACCGTGACTACCGCCCGCCCGCATGTCCTGTGCCGGGGGACCTCCATGCACAACACCGACTTGCATGCTGTCGGCAGACTGCCTTCCACACCCTCCACGGAATGTCGACGGTGGAGCAGGCACAGTTGCATGGAAGCAGGCACGTCCCGTGACCAACGGATCCTGACGCACGGCACTGAATGAATGCATGATCGGTGTCGACAACCCGCGACAGTGGGGCCGTGCATGCACATGGCTGTCGTGCATGTCATGAGCATCATGAAAACCGCCGTCGGCATCACCTGTCCAACGTGTGGACTCCATCAGCCCACTCCGGCTTGGAGACGGGCACAGTGCTGACGAATGGCGGAAGCTTTCGCTGGCCCTTGTCTGGAGGTCGACTACAGACACCTAGACACAAGGCCAGTGACGACACACAAGACCACAAAAGACAAAAACAACAACACCCCTGCCACGAAGACGAAAAGCAAAATGACTGCTGCGCCCAGGAAGACCGGTGATGCGCCACCACCATGCCCGAGACTGTAACCGTTCAGCTTTACGACGACAGCAGGACAGTCCACTTCAGAACAGCATCGACACCCCCTGCAAGGCGAATGCGTGGATGCAGCCGTCCCCTGTCCAATCACCACATGCCCGGTGTTCGCGTACTGTCGCTCTCCAACACGGCTGGGAACCTCCACTTGTCAGTTCCACAATGGACGACCTCCGCTGCACATCGGCTGTCTCGGCGACTGGACTATGACAGAAGGTGACGTGGATGTGCGTGGGACAACCGACGGAGCACACGAGGGCAGCGACGATGACAGCACCGCGTCACCGCATCCACCGCCACGAAAAGAACCTCGCAAAGCTGCACGTCTGGGGATGACGAGAGGAGACTGCAGCACCATCCGTACAGCGGCGGAGGCATCCGTGTGCGGCTGACAGGGACTGGAAAGAAGACGGCCGACTGACGTGGCAGCACCACGGACAGAAGCCCCACGGCCGAAACACGTGATATGATGGAGTATCCGCATGGCAGATCGACCGTCCAGCCGACACTCGGACGGAGAAGACAGCCGTGGAGCAGGAACTGGGACCGATTGTGACTGCACTCGTGAACGACCCGCATGCAAATGTGCTGTCTTTCTTCTATCTTCCACAAACCACCCGCCTCAAGTACATGTTGTCGCGTTTTTAAAATCCGTTCGCCCACCGCCAAAATTCGAATTTTGCATTCCTGCCATCTGTGGGTGTGCGGCGGGACCACGACCGGGGACCACCGTCTGCTACCACCAACGGCCCGTCCAAACGACTCGTGTGACACAAAATTCGACTGTAGTGTCTCGTCCTGGTCGAGCTTCAAGTCCGTGCCGCCCGTGGACTGCACCACACCTTGCCGGTCCCGATGCCATCGGTTGGTGCTTCGCCCTCACCCGCCAGAAAGAGGGCACTTCGGAAAAGGAGTGCCGGTTTCTGGCACAGACTTTTCCAGCCGTCAGCCATGTAGAAACACGGCCACCACGGTCTGCAAACCACGTTCGCATACCTCAAAAGCACTTCCCGGCGGCCTGGTGGGGTCCGAAAGCTACCTTCCACGCCTAAACTTTTCCAGCCGCCGGCCAGTGGGGTCCAGGCCTTAAGTGGAAAATGCGTAGAATTGTCAATGGCATGCATTTTGCAGCCATAAAGAATTTGTTTTTCCTTTTTTTTGTAATATTTTTCCTGGAAAGATCACAACAAAATCTACGGGCCCTGAATTTTTCTGATTTTTTCTTATATTCAGTCTTCTGAGCTCGAAAAATCAGTGAGGGTGCAGTTACTGTACTCTTTCCATCGGTAGGCACCTGGCATAGTGGGAAAAATGGAAAACGTGCCGAATTGGCTTCGGTGATCTCACGGTCAAAATGATTTTTTATTTAGTTCGTAATATTCTTCCTGGAAAGGTCAAAACGAGTTCAGTATTTCTCCTCCCCCCGCCCCCTCCCCACGCCAAAAAAAAAAGAAAACAAAAACGAGTTCAGTGGGCCCTGCAATTTTCAGATTGTTTTCACACATTATTCTGAGTGCGAAAACTCAGTGAAGTTGGAGTACTTTTTCCCCTGGCCCACACTTGGCAGAGTGACAAAAATGGAGAATGCGCACATCATCTTCTTCTATGATTTCCATTCTTGGGTTTTGAAAGTATGGCTGCATGGCCATTATTTCAATGTTGAAATGAAATTTTAAATATTTTGGATATCTTTCCTGAGGAGATCACAACCCGAATGTCAAATTTTCACGTTGTCCTGTCACCTCCTGTGCATTATTATGAGTGTGAAAATTGCCCAAGTTGCCGCTTAAACCACCAGGCCCCCTTGGCCGAAATTCAGCATTCCGGTGAGTTAGGGCCGAAAAACCGGGGGAGGTTGGCAACCGTTTGGTACTTTACTTCTGAAAATGGAGCTTTTTTTTTTTTGCTTTTTTTTTTTTTCTTTTCTTAAACACGCCCCCACTATAAGAGCAGACACCACTAGCACCTCCTGGGGAGAGGCTCCATCTATTGGTGGGGAGCATCACCTGCTGGAAAACGGGTCCAGCGTCCCTTATACAGGCTGAATTTGGAGAATATCAGAAAAAAACAATTGTGGGAGATTCCTGCCAGCATTGATTGTCCTGGGATCCAGGGGATTGACTGAGCAGGATATTGGAAGGAGGGGGGGACCTCTTCACCTTCGACCCGGCGCCAGATACCTGCTGCTACACACTAGTTCCTCCCTCCCTCCACCAGCCTGGCCTTCCTAGTGGGACATTCGAGAAAGTCGGCCGGGAATATACCTGGCCGGTACCGCGAAATGGCGCAGGCC